TGCTGGAGGTCATAGGGACCGCTGAGCCTGGTTCTGTTGGAGGTTTCTTCCTGTTCAAAGGGAGTTTTTCCTCTCCACTGTCGCTACAAGCATGCTTAGTGTGAGGAATTGCTGAAGAGTCAATGAGTCGATGCAATCAGCTGGTTTTCCTTAGATAGAAAACTTTGAATCAATCTAACTGGATGATCTGGTTTATGTGGATCTATAAAGTGACATGATGTGAATTGGAGCTATAGAAATAAACTGAATAGAATTAAAACTCATGGAAAATATGAAACTAAAGCTGACTCAATGATGCAGAATCTCCAAATCTGTGATTTGATTAGTAGGGATCATGAGCTCCGATTGTGCTGCTGCTTTTTCTACATTTTCAGATGTAGAGAAAAAGTGCTTCCTACCCTTCAGGTCTCGCTCCTTGAACTGAGTGATGGGAAACATCATTGCATCAGCGAGCTGGGTGGACAGGACGGCATGGCAGGAGCTTAGCTGGACAAAGACAAGACGTTAGGACACAGTCCAGCCAGTAGGCCCCCGGAGAGAAAAAGCAGCTCACCTCATCAATGACCTTGGAAAACTGCTGCAGGGTGGAGCTCATCACCTCATCGTCGCCCCCTAGAGGAAAACGCTGCACAGAGCAGCAAAAACAAAAAGAGAGGATGTCATTTATTTCATGTTACCAACGTTTTGTAACATTCTCCTCTTTTCTATCATCACGTTCTTGTCTTGTGAGCAGAGCAGATGAGACGAGCTCTTTAGGTGATAAATTAAGGAGCTCGTCTGCCTGGCTTTGTGTTTCCTGTGGAGCTGGTTATGCTCCACATTGAATAGCTTCAGCTTCCAAAGCTCAATGCAGAGCTGAACGGTCATAGTTTGGTCAGTGATAGAAATTAAACTTTATCTTGTGATTACAATGTGACATAATTGATGATCTTTGACTGTAGAATTAGTTTTTCACAGAAAGTTAAACAATACATATATGAGTTATTGTGCTTATATAATTACTTATTCAATAATTATGGAGTAAAAAGGTTTTTTTAATTGAACAGGTGGTTTATTCTATATATATATATGGCTATTGATTAAAATGTGAAAAACTTTGATTCATTAATTACAGATTATGTAATTAACTCGATGAAAACTTTTAATCATGTACCACCAATTAAACACAGCTGAATTAATCAGGGCAGTTGTTTACACTGAATTGATTTATAGACATGGAGTGAAGGAGGTAAACACAAACACTTTATAAATGTTTATTTAAAAAGTTTAGTTTCCTTTACAATGATGATCCTATGACTGTGTATTAGGGCCAGGCTGGAGATTTTTTTATTTGTAGAATGAAGTCGTAATTTATGAGAATAAAGTCATAACATTACAAGAATAAAGTCATCATTCAACAACCCGTTTGGAGCTCCGCCCAGCAGATGA